ATAGAGGTGCAGATGACAGACTCAAATCATTCCTCTGTAGAACTGGATCAGCAGCTCCATTCTGGGCTCCGTTGTGGTCGTAAGTCGAGGACTACCTGTGTCAGGTTACCGTGAGCCTTGCGGTTTTAAAAGAAGCAGTTTGTCCTTTTCTCTGCATTTCATTCCTGTTCTCTGCCGTTCTCCTGTTCTCTGTTTTACCACACCCTCCCAAAGACTGGCCTTCCCCAGGTTTTACAGTGGGTTGTGAAGCCATCATGGGAGTTTTTGTTCTGTCTAGACATCTTAAGCACGATGCTGACAGTAAACGAGGCAGGAAAAATCTGGTGGATTAAAGACAGTCCTGATAACCACAGGAACAAAGGCAGGAGAGCAGGTTTCTTGCAAGGAATCCTGAGTTATTTACAGGGGCTTTGGCTAAATTCTGCTCCTTCTGCCTGATAATTTTTTTTTTTTTTTACAAATATTAAAACAAAGGCTGGCTGGAAAATTACATTTTTAAAGTGAGTCAGAGCCACGTGGAATGGACGTTGCAGGCACAACAAATCCAGAAGGATTTTCTTTCCATAAAGCATCCATTTCTGAGTGACTCAGGTGCCACTTAATTTTTTGCTTTAATTTAAAAAAAAAATGGCTACAAGAATGAAAAGGAGGCTGCTCAGCCTGTGCTTAGCAGGGCCTTTAATTGTTTTCGCACGGCTCCAAAAAGGTTTTGCTTTTTGTGCGTCAATTAGAGAACAGCAACTCGGATCTCTGGAACGGCGGGTTAAAAATAGAGATTTTTCTTTTCTTGCCGGATCTGAAGTTGGAAGGGAGAGAGTTGTGGGTCAAGGACAGTTTTGATGTGGGTTACAAGTATCACCATTGCAGAAAATGTTCCCTTACGTTGATGTGAAGGGCCCAATCTGCTACTGACGTCCTTACAACAGCCTTGTAAGATACGGCCTTGTAAGTTAATGACGATTCAAAGTTACGACACACTTGAGAAAAGTGACTTATGGCCGTTTTTTTTTTAACATTTACAACCGTTGCAGCCTTCCCAAGGACACGCGAACAAAATTTGGATGCATGGCAGCTGACTCCTAATTATGACGGTTTCAGTGTCCTGGGATTGTGTGGTCCCCTTTTGCGACCTTCGGACAAGCAAAGTCAATGGGGAAGCCCGTTTTGCTTAACAGCCAGCGGTAGCAAAAAAAATTCACATAATAGGTCAAAATTCGCTTCAGAAATGTTTCACTTTGTGACAAAAATATGGGGTTCAATTGGAGTCCGTAAGTCGAGGAGTACTGTGTTTCCCCGAAAATAAGACCCGGTCTTATACCAGGTCTTATTTTAGGGGGGCTGTTCCACTGACTCATCTTGCGGTGGCGGCACCAACAGCCCCACCCAGCAGGAGCCCACTGCCGGTCCACTTCCTCAACATCTGCATCTGCACGTTGCCTCTGGATCAATCCAGAGCTCTGTTACCAGCTGCAGAGGCCTTTCCTGAAGGCTAAACGGAGGCTGAGGGCAGCGCGTGTGTCAATCCAGACCTAATTTCTGGGCTGCAGAGGCCTTTTTTGAAGGCCTCTGACAGCGAAATGGATGCCGGGGGTGACGTGCGCAAGTGGCGGCAAGCGGCTGCAGAAGAAGTGGGTCCAGCAAGGCAAGGCAGGTGTCGGGGGGGTGTCAGGTCTGGGATGAAGGGCTGCTCCCCCCCCCCCCCCAATCCCAGGGGTGGGATTCAAATTTCTTAACCGCTTCCGTGGGCATGGCCTAATTTGTGGGTGTGGTTAGGTGGTCATGTGACTGGCTGGGTGTGGCTCGTATGTAAATATTGTAAATATTTATGGAAATATTGATTTTTTTTTTTATAAAAAAAGAGCAACTTTTACCCCAAATCAGGCAAAGCAGGCAGGTAGATTGAGTTGCTCACAGAATCACAGATTCCCTCAGAGATCAGCCATTCTGCAATCTGCTACCTGAGTCTGCACTGAAAAATAGAACGTTCAGTCCTAAAGGAGGTTAAACTCTGCTTTTAAATTAGTTAGAAATCAAGAAATCCAGTGATTCCCTGCTTTCTAGCTAATCTAAATCTCCCGGCACAGCTGATAGTCGGAACAGCTGATGGTCAAGGGGGGGGGGAGGAAAAATAGCAACTTACCAAAAATTAGGTGAAGGCACAAGGCAGGCAAGTTGGATGGCGCACATGCCAAGTAAGGAGTGAGTGGGCAGGGTGGGGAGGGGTGGGACCAGCCAGTGGCGAGATTTGCAAGTTCTCCAAACTGCGCAGAATCGTAACAACCGGTTCTGACCAGGTAGAATCCCACCCCTGCTCCATCCCCACCCTAGCTTAATTTTTACCCGTGAGCCTCGCCCCACCCCTTAACTAGGGCTTATTTTTGGGGGGTAGGGTTTATATTGGGCGTCCGCGTAAAAAAATCGAGCTAGGGCTTACTTTCAGGGTAGGTTGTATTTTCAGGGAAACCCAGGACCTGTATAGAAGTAGAGATGCTAAATGTTCGAACAGAGAGGAACAGATTGACGTAAAAACGGTTCGGTTATCTTTCCTTCCCCTGCTGTGCAAATTCTTCCACCACCACTGTTGAGGTAATTCCCCGTTAGGAGAATGAGCGCATACAGGGGGACGTATTTGAGAGAAGTGTTTGAATAATACACACACAGCACACAGATACACAGTACAGATACACTTCCAGAAACGTTTAAGCAAAGTTCAGACACAGTCCAAAGTCATTCAACAGGTAAGATCAGTCAGTTTTTAGTCCAGGGATAATCCAATAACAAAGTCCAGTGTCAAAAACAGTTCAGTATCAGACTTACATCAAATCCAGGAATATCAGTCAATTAGGAAGAAAAATGGAGGAACGGCAATACTCTTCAACAGAAGGAAACAGAGACTCACTCATACTCTCTTCTGAGACTAAGACTAAGACAACCCAGGTTTCTGGCTCCATCTTATGGCCGTTGAGAAACCACACCCAATTACACTTTTAGGATTCTCTTAAAGAGACAGTATTAAAATATCTATCCTGTCTTATATATTTCCAACCCAAATACCTGTTAAGTGACTTATATTCCTAACAACCACTGTGTTTCCCATCGCTCCATCAAAGACCTAATGAAAGGAAACGGATCTGCCGAAGTACATTCTGTGACAGACAAGATCTGGAGATTTGGCAAGGGGCCGGCTATTCTGCGCCTTCCTAAGATCCTTAAAGTTGTTGTGCTGTTTGGGGAAAATGAGGGAGAGAGATTATGGAAGCCCTTCTTGCAAAGTTTGCATTGTCAACAATGTTAATCAATGTTTCTCCTATGATTCCAGGGGAACTTGAGCCATCTGCCAACTATACAGGGAGAGTCCTTGATTTACAACTATTTCTTTAATGACACTGTTGACCTAAAACAGGGCCTTATGAGCGGTGTTCCACTTATGGACATTGCAACATCCCTGCAGTCATGAAATTCCAAATTGGGTCACTTGGGAACCAGCCTGTATTTTGGGCAGTAGCAGTGTCCTTTTTTGGGGGGAGGGGTGTCATATGATCACTGTTTGCATCCTTCTAGGGGATTTCCAACAAACAAAGTCAAATAGTAGTCCTTGACTTACGACTATTTGTTTAGTGACCGAAGTTTCAGTGGCTCTGAAAAAAAGGGGGGCTTGCGACCATTTTTCACACTTACAACCATTGCGGTATCCCCATGGTCACGTGATCAAAATTTGGACACTTGACCAGTGACTTGTATTTACGATGGTGTCTCAGGACCACACGATGCCCTTTGGCGACCTTCTGTCAAGCAAACTCAACGGGGAAGCCGGATGCATTTAACGACTGTGTTACTAACTTAGCATCTGCAGTGATTCACTGTTCTGACCTAAATCTTGTTCCAAGGAAACAAACACGAAACAGAGGTAACAGCAAAACCTTTTAATGATTCTTTCCGAATTCCGTTCCTTCCCGGTTAAAAGGCTGTTTCGAACTCATTGTCTCTGATAAGAAGGAGCCTTTCCAAGATGGTGAAAGGCTGCCAAGAACACTAGATAAAGTTACTAGGAAAGATTTCAAACACAAAGAGTCTCCAAACACCAACCAAGATAGTCCAAACGTCCACAAGGCTTGAGTGCAAGAACTTCTTTGCTTCCTGCAAAGAACTCCGGTTTCTCAGCTGCCTTTTATTTCTTCAGGGAGGGGCCATTACCTTGCAGCCTTACTGCCGAGTCGCCCGTGCTGCTGCAGCTGCTCTTTCCTTCATGCACACTGGGCACAGGCTCCTTGGGGACCTCTTCATCACTGCTCCCAGCCTCCACAACCTCCAAAGGCAGCATTCCACCCCGACGGTCCTGGCCCCATCCCTGCATTACACGCAGGCCCCTCATCTGAGTCCTCGCTCTCCGAGACCTCAGCTGTCTGCACCTGCTGCCGGTGAAGCACAACATTCACTTAACTGTGGCAAGCAAGATTCCAAAATGAGGCAAAAATTCACTTAATGAATGTCTCATTTAGCAACAGAAATTTTGGGGTTCGACATAAATCGAGGATATCTTTGCATGACAAGCAATAAAGCGCAACAGTCATCAATTACATACAGAATCCACTTTAGCATGTACCCATATCCAGAGTCAGTGGGGAAGGCAGATTCGCTGAACTGACGGGGTGTCACTAAGAACTGCAGCGGTTTGCTTAACAGCCACAGCAAGGAAGGTCGCAAAACGGGGGCAAAACGGACTGAACAAACCGTCTCGTTTTTTAGCAAGAGAAATCTTGGGCTCAATTGTGGCCGTCAGTTGAGAACTATCTGTAGTGGTTTGAAAATCTTGAGATATTAATAAAGTTTTGGAGGGTTGGCGCTCTCTGTTTCCGTTTTGACTCCTTCCTCCAGCTGGAGCTGCCCAAAGCAAGGAAAAGAGTGGAAGCGGCTCAGCGCAAGCGAAACAATCTTCCCGTTTGAGACTTTTGCATAAATTGTTCCCGGTCGGACAATGGCGCTTTCTTTCCCTGGACGAGAGTTGTGTTTTACCACCAAGCAGAAAAGGGGACGTTTTTCTTTTCCCGAGCCGGCAGAACTTGGTCGAGTGAAAAAAAAAAAGAAGCTTTTCTGACAAAGAAATCTTTACTTCCTTCAAGAAAAGCTTTGAAGAGATACAGAGATCTTTGGCAAACTCCAGGGTCCTTGTGGCTCCTTTGGAAAGAGCTTTGTGTGTGCCAGATGCCGGGTGGGGTTAGAGGGAGGAGGCTGACCGTTTTCTTTGGCTGGCCTTGGTCGTCTTGCCTCCGGAGAACCCCGGCTTCTCGTTCTCCAACCTCGTGGAATTTCCTCCCCGGCCGGGCTGGCTTTCCACGCTGCCGTTGTAAAACTCCTGGGCTGGATAGATCCAGAACCATCAATCCGGAGCCAATTGCTCTTAAGCTTGGGTGCGTGGCAGCTTTCTTCATCCTCTATTTCAGTGATTAGATTTGGATGAGTAATAATGAAAAATGATGCAACACCATGTTAACAGTCAAGAACAGCTGAAGAGCTAGCTGTTGGTTCTTCATTTCCGGGGTCTTGGCAATTACTTGCTGCTTTACCTTAAAAACATAATTAATATATTTCTCCCCCCCCATAGGTAGCTTTCATATTCTCAAGAAGGGAGGATTTTAAGTTGTGGCCATAAAGTTCAGGCTGTTCTCAACGATAAATGAGGGATACGCACCTAAGTCTAAAATGGTGTTCAAAAGATCGTGAAGATCTTTTTCCTGGATTACATAATAAACATTATATAATGTAATTGTTTTTTTAATGTATGCATCGGCTTTTAACTCCTTTTTTTTTTTGTTTTGTTTGTTTGTTTGGCAAGGTTGAGTGTGGCTTGGCATTGAAGGCTGCTCTGTAATCCAAGCAGGCTAATACAATTAATACATTCCTGTAAATTCAAATCCCTTACTTTGAATATGTTGCTTCGATTTTCTTTTTTTTTTACCACCCTGAAAATGCTACAGGTTGCCTTCCAGATTTGCCTTCTAGATTTGACCCATTTAATTCCTTCTTTCTTTTTTACCTTCTGCCCAATTTTTCTCCTCCTTCTCCCCCCTCCTTCGTTCCCTCCACCCATTGGGCATAAGGGGTGCATGTATTTGGTTACCACCCAGCCGTTGCACACACCAGTGTCTGAAAAAAATTCCTCTCTACTTGGGAACTGATCCTTTAATTCAGAGATGAAAGGGGAGGGCTGAGTGTTTTTCAACTCTTGTTTGTATAATGGGAGCTAAACCTACAAGCCAGATAGGATTGGTATGACTAATATTAATTATCTCTCCCCCCCACCCCCCAATGACTTCAGCATGGGCCTTTTTCTGGGGATGTTGTTTTAGTGGCTCCTAATTGTTTGCAAAGTATGTTCTGGAGTTGATGCTACTTGCTGGTACTTGCTCTGAGTTGCTGGGTGATTTTCTTTTTCTTTCTTTCTTTCTTTCTTTCTTTCTTTCTTTCTTTCTTTCTTTCTTTCTTTCTTTCTTTCTTTCTTTCTTTCTTCCTTCCTTCCTTCCTTCCTTCCTTCCTTCCTTCCTTCCTCTCTCTCTCTCTGTCTCCTTCCTTCCTTCCTTTCTCTCTCTCTCTTTCTCTTTCTTTCTTTCTTTCTCTCTCTCTCTCCTTCCTTCCTTCCTTCCTTCCTTCCTTCCTTCCTTCCTTCCTTTCTTTCTTTCTTTCTTTCTTTCTTTCTTTCTTTCTTTCTTTCTTTCTTTCTTTCTTTCTTTCTTTCTTTCTTTCTCCCTCTCTCTCCTTCCTTCCTTCTTTCCTTCCTTCCTCTCTTTTCCTCTTTCTTTCCCTCCCTCCCACTCCCCTTTTCCTCTCCCTCTCTCTCTCAGGATTTGGGTATGTCTACTCTAGTGAAAAGAAGGAGTAGGGGGTGACATGATAGCAGGGTTCCAATAATTGTGGGACTGACACAAAGAAGAGGGGAATCAAATTATTCTCCAAAGCACCTGAGGGCAGGACAAGAAACTGGATGGAAACAGATCAAGGAGAGAAGCAACCCGGAATTAAGGCGAAACTTCCTAACAGGGAGGACAATTAACCAGTGGAACTGCTGGCCACCAGAAATCATGGATGCTCCATCACTGGAGGTTTTCAAGAAGGGACTGGACAGCCACTTGTCTGAAATAGTCTAGGGTCTCCTTCTTAATTGTGGGGGGGAGTTGGATTAGAAGACCTCCTAGATCCCTTCGACAGTGATGTGATGATGATGATTTTTCATGAATAAGTATAGAGTGTGGACAGGATTCAGCAGCACGGTGCAAGTTACATCATTATTTGGCTGAAAATATAACTCCCTGCTGGTCAGCCTTCTCCAACTTAATATCCTTCAAATGTGCCGGGCTACAAATTCATATCATCCCTAATTAATATAATTTTTGCAGTTTAGAGGTGATTAGAGTTGCTTTCTTGCACATAAGTTATGAAGGACTCCTTGACTTTAACCACCACAATTAACATTTTTGTTGCTAAACAAGTTAGTTGTGAAGTGAGTTTTGCCACCTTTTACGACCTTTCTTGCCATCGTTATTAAATGAATCACCGTGGTTAGCTTAGTTACATGGTTCCCCATCGACTTTGCTTGTCAGAAGGTTGCAAAATGGGACTACATGACCCCCGGATATGGCAACTGTCATAAATAGGAGCCAGTGGCCAAGCCTCCAAATTTTGGCCCCGTGACCTTGGGGATGTTGCAGTGGTTGCAAGTGTGAAAAATGGTCATAAGTCCCTTTTTTCCTGTGCCGTTGTGACTTTGAGCTGTCAGTAACATATTCCCTGTATGGGAAAGCTGTAGGTTCAATTTAGTCCTTGGATCTTGCAATGTGGCAATTTTGTTCCAAACTTAGAATTTCAATTCATGGTATATTTTTTCCCAATGAAGTAGTTTGCTTGACTCAATTGTGCTATTAAATTAGAAGTTGACCTCTTGGTTTGGTGTGACTCCTTCCCTACTATCCCTACTATGCATCTCTACTTGGGTCCTGGACTTATGACCACAATTGAGCCCAAAATGTGGTTGTTGTTGTTGTTGTTGTTGTTGTTGTCAATACTAGCTTAATACCTGTGTTTCATTACGATTGGGCTTTAGTTTTGGGGAGGAAAATAAGGGGGAAAAAATTCTGCTTCTGCCTATCAGCATCCATCGGTATTTATCTGGCTAGCGTCCTGTCAGTGTGTGAGAGAGTTGAGGGCTGTTTGGAAACTGAAACAATATTTGCTGTGTGAACAAGGAGACAGCAAGGAGCCTGGGCGTGGCTTAGCTCAACTGTTCTGTACTAAAGCTGCTTGGTGCTCTGAAACTGAAACTCCTCTCCTCTGCTTGCGTTTTGCATTTGGAACAGGTTTCTTTTCAGGTGGGGAGGGGGAGTAGAACTCCTTAGCATCAGAGCCTGTTAATAATAATAATATAGGAAATACTAATGCTCTGATGGTCATTTCAAAAAACCCTTTCTTAGCGAACACCTAGAAGCCAAGAGGAACATACGTGCCAAATTTCAAGCTTGTAGGCTTTACGGTTCTGGAGATTTTGTGATGATGCATGAGTGGTATTTTGCTTTTGTATATATAGATTGCACCATCAGAATTGAAAAAGGGGAGAGAGTTACTGAGAGTAACGAATGAATGGTGTGTCCTGATTTTGATGTGGTATTTATATGAGGCATATAACATGCACATAAACAGTTCCTGGTACGAGATTGGAGAGGAAACCAGCCTTTGAGTTCAATGCGCCGTCTCAGAATTTCTCTCGCCTATGAGTCAGTCTCCAATTTGTTCTTCTCGGGGACAAACCTGACTTGTTGGGAAACCGGTTTGGAGAAGCAAAGCCCTCATGTCACTCTTGAGTGGAACCACATAATGTGGAAACGCATTGTACACCGCTGGACAAACAGCCGGTGGAAAAAATGCAAAACTTGCTCTAAACTGCTGCGAAGTGCAAGAGCTGTGGTGTTTTAATAAACGTACAAATAGCATGCACAACACTTCAAATATTTAACGTAAGTTTGTTTATTAAGAGTCTTGTTTTTCTGGGAAGCATCACCATGATAAACAAGGATTAATGGTCTATGTCTTGTATTTTTGAAGAGGGATTCGAACCTTTCCTCTCCGGAATAAATAACCTGTCAAGAGCACCAATTTAAAAGGTATGCTAAATACCGATGAAGGAAGAAGCTACCTCTGCCTCCCTTCCTTTAACTCAGAGGTCTCCAAACTTGGCCACTTTTAATATTTGTGGACTTCAATTCTGGGAGTTAAAGTTCACGTCTTAAAGTTGCCAAGTTTGGGGACCCCCGATTTAAGAGAAAAGGGTGAGCATGCAGTACTAATTAGTAAATCACTATCAACTGAATATGCCTTAATTTTGGCTTGGAAAGCTAAGAAGAGGTAAGGGTTAAGAAAGAGGATTTTTCCCCTTCCAAACTGTTTATGGCTGTCCAGGGATGTTCATGGCTGGACATAGGTGAGTAACACCTGCATTTTATATTTACAGATACAGGTATTTCTTGAGGTGGAGGACAGGGACTCCACCTCCTTGGTGCGGTCACCTAGAGGTGGATCTCCCGCCTCACAATCAGGAGGCTGTGAGTTCGATCCTAGAGGATGATGATACAGACAGTCCTTGACTTACAACAGTTTATTTAGGGACCGTTTGAAGT